CCCCAAAACCCCAAAACCCCAAAACCCCATCAAGACTAAATGACTGTAGATTATGAGTAAATGATAAAAGATGAAAGTAGTGAATTGAACTGATTTTGAATAATAACAGAAAATTAAGAATTATTATTAGAAAGAATAACAGAGTAGAATTCATTACAAAAGAGAAAAATAAAAATGGATCTGTAAAGTTCACAAAGTTTAGACCTAGATGAGTACGACGACAATGTCTTCATCACAAGTCTTAAGAATCCTAATCAGCGGAAATCTTAGACCATCATCTCGATATCTCCTGATGTAAGTCGCAAGTCAAAGAAAATCAGTTTTCCTCCCAATTCACTTCAAGTACCACATCTTAAAGATCCTTTGAGAAAATATTCAGTATCACCCTCATAAAAGTCAATGATTTCATCACCCTCCCTTCATCCAAAGAGTCCAAGGATTGACAGTCCGAGTAATGCTAGGTCCCTGTCACTGCTAAAGAGGAATACTATATTTGGAGATAAGATTATGCCGAAATAGCCAGCCCTCATTCCAAGGTTCTCACTCCTGAAATCAATAGTCAAATCGTAAACTCATAATATGACTAAAACTGAAGATGAGAGCAACGCATTAGCCATCTTGGGAGACTATCATAATAAATTTGAAGCGAGGTTGTTTCAAAGGAAATCCCTAAAGATAATTAATTTCACTCCTGTAGACTGGAAAAGATTTGAGGGTCTGCCACTTAAACCAGGGATACATTTCTTTAAAATGTTTACCTCTATCAAGTAAGAAGCACTTTCCAGTCTCAGACGTATAATCATTCCTGATACACTTATAAGCTTTGAGAGGCTTTCTTGGCTTAGATATGGTATAATACTCAGACTTGATTTCTTATAGATCATTAGGAGAGGAAATTTAGTGTGAGATCTAATGACTTTATTCTACCATTTTACTTCAGAAAAACTAAGGTATCAATCGAAGCATATCACAAAGCTGAGTTGACTTGGGACGAGCCAATGGTTATAGAAAAGAGATTTCCTCAGTTTATGAACTAAACTTACAAAGTAAAGATATCATAATATAATAGAGCATTATAGACAATTATGAGTGAGGAGCAGTTTTAGAATTATCTTTCAAATGGTCTGGATTAAAGTTGCATTATCTAGACATTTGTTAGACCCACTTTTCCTGGTAGGCCAGCGTTTTATAGAATAGTGTATCGAAATCAAAACGTAAAGCAATCAAAGAGAAAGCCAAACTACGGATTCCTAATAACAAACAAACTGAAGAATGTAAACTATAAGGAATACAAGAAGTTCAAGAATCTGAATCAAAACACCAGCTAGAACTAGTATTCTAGTTTGTTTTATCATGATAGCCAGAGTTACACCTAGAAACATATAGTGAATGTAGACCAGCAGGATCTGAGCAACTGCGAGATTTATATGATCAGAAACTTTCAGGTGCTTGAGCATCGTCTTGAAGAGATGGCTTAGGAACTGATAAACTTTATCAATGGCATCTATGGCTTTAGAATTAAGTAGGTAGTGGTAGACTTTATAAAAGACAGCTAGGGGAACTACTATCTTACTGACTTGAAGAACTTCACCTTTGACGAGTTTGAAAAGATCAGGTATCTGCGAATAAAGCATGAAAATCCTTCTGTTCGCTTATAAAATAGGCAGTAGCTGTTAGAAAGAGCTTGCTTGACTTACAAGTGCTCACTCTGCCTGTAAAAGTATCAAAAGAACTACGTGCAGAACACAATCACTAAGAAAATGTTGTATAAACTAAATGCTCATTTGACTAAGCGTGGAGTGTTTTTACTTCAACATCTGGAGAAATATCAGTTTCAATAGGAATTCTGCAAAGTCTGTGATCAGTGCAACCTGCTTGTGATTGCTGAACTAGAACTTATGGAGGTGGAGAGATTGTATGCAATAGCTCAAAATATACCGTCTAAGGAGTATAATAAGATAAAGAAGGATGATGATGCCAAGATTTAGATTGGAGCTCTGCATACCAACTAACTTACACAGTGGAGACTGATGTTTATGTTCAAGGAGATTAAAGGGGTATCTAGTGAACAGGTTATGGCTCAGTGCTAAAGTGGCAGTCTCTTTTTGCATCTTAAAATTCTAGACTTTATAACCTCTCTGGAGATAAGCAAAGCAAATCAGACTAAGTAGACTTTCATCTAGAGTTTCAACCTTAATAAGAACTCTTAAAACACCAAAGATCAACAGCAACAGTAGCAAAAGGAGAACATTGATTCCACTAACAATACCTACCAGAGTAGTAACTTGAGAGATAGTAGACTGAAGCTGAATAGCAATATGGGCAAGAAGATAACTATTATGGATACAACCAGCCTTAAGGATGGAGATGGCTACTTACATTTAATTCACAATGATTCCAATAATAACAACTACGCCCCCAAGCTCAATGTCATCTATGAGTACTAAGAGACCTCTCCTTCTATCTTGATTAATAAGATAAGAGTGCATTTCTTTTTCACACAGGATAACAACAAGGAAGAGTTCTGGAAGTTTCTATCAAACACTGAGATCGAGATCAGACTAACTGATGGACCGTACTGGGAAGGAGATCTTATTGGAACTTGCACTGGGTTTCCCTTGCAGTACTTCAATGATAAACATGAGATTTAACTTTAGCCCTGGTAGTACTACTTCTTTGGGCCAATTAATAAACTGCCTTCTGAAGTAAAGGATGATATGCTGATAGATGACTCAAACACTTCAAGCTTCATATCAACCTAGCGGACTAAATATGATTCGATGATTGATTTCACAGTGAGTTTGAAGAAGGACTAAAAGGTCTAAATCTCTAATAATGTAGACTTGTATTAAGTGAATGGAGTGCTGTTCCCAGAGAATAACTATTTCAGTCCTCTGCCAATGCCAAAGGAATGGATTGAAATCATTTAGCTGTTTAGCAATTAGAAGACCATGAGGAATTCCACTCTAAATTATAACAACACCTTTCAAGAACATGAAGAGACTTAGTCAAATAAACTGAGGTCTATTAGTCCCAATTAAACTTCAAGCAAGGATAAACACGATCTGAATAACAATAGCAGTGCTAAGAAGCTTACTAGTAAGGTAAATGATTTCAGCAAGCGCAAAAATAGTGACAATGAACTGATTGAATTCGGCTCGGAGAACTATGATGGCATTAAGAACACTCCTTTTTCTAAAGACATGCAGAAGAACTTTTCACACAGTCTTAAGATATTCAAGACTGTTTAAGACTAAGAACTGCTATCAAAGAAATTAAGCAATATGAACTCAGTCAGTCCAATCTTCAGGTAGAATATTCAAAGCAGGAATAAATATAAAGAGGCCTTGCAAACTCAGGATTAGATTGATATCACAGATGATCATATATTGCTTCAGTAGCTTAAACTGATAGATACCAAGAATTAAACACTAAGAGAGGTCAATACTCACTATGATCCAAAGTTCATATACTCCTCAAGTCAAGCAGTGAAAAAGCTCTAACAAATTAAGAAGTAGAAGGAGAAGTTATAGAACAATAACAACATCAATAATAATAATAACGGTAATGACTCATTGACTAAGTTTGGAGGGAAGTAGGACAGGTATAAGTTCAAGAACTATCAGATTGAGCATGAAACTATTTTGAATCAGAGAAAGCAAGTTGTTTATTAGCTTAAGAAGAAGAATTATCAGGCAATCAAGGATATCATTAAGTCCAAGAAGCAATAGATGCTGAATATAATACCAGATGATAACTTCATTATAGGATCATCGCCTTAGCATAAAAAGTTCAAAATCAATGATGAGTTTGAGAATAAAAACCTCTATGGAGACAGTTTGACAGTTACTAGGAAAAATTCCCTTAAGAACGCAAGAAGACCATCAATGATAGAGACTAAAATATCAACTGAAAAACTTAATGTCTATGAACCTCTTTACGTCTCCTAAAAGACCAATCCCTAGCCCTTAAAGAAATCTAACTCGATTGTCAAGCAGAAGAATTCCAACATTCTGGCTATGAATAGAACAACTAACATATTCCATGTGGTATCTTAGACTTTTAAAGACTATGAGCGCTCTAACTAGGATTTAAAGAATTATGACATACTCACTCCAAGATCTAAAAAGGTGAGAACTAGCAAAGACCTGAGTGATGACTTTGATACAATTAGCAAAGAGACATTTGACAGAGATAAGATCCTCATACCAGATCTAAAGAAGAATGCCTCAGGTTCAAAAATAAATAACGAAGTTATCAGTGAGGAGTCTATGGATCTAAGCTAAGGGGAGGACATCAAGCCCAAGAAGGAGCAATTCGATGGGCAAAAGACTATGACTGCTATGAAACCCCCACTCTTAGCCAAACCTCCACAAAAGACTAAGGATCGTATTTAGAGTGCTTAAGTCTCAAACAAGAATAAAAGCTAGAGTATTATGAGGACTACCTTCTACAACTCACATTCAAAAATTTCAAAGATCTCGCCAAAGAATAATACCTCTACAAATTCCTCTGCATTTAAATAATTCCTGCCATATTTGACAAAGTCCAATTTTCATAGCACGATAGAGGATCATAACTCAGAGGAGGAGAATAATAACACAATTAATCAGTACATCTCCAATATTAACACATTCCAAGCAACCACTTCAAATATTCAAGGATACAATCTCAGTAATATGTTTAGAGGTACAATCAATGAAGCTGGCAATACATAGTCAGCTGAAAGGAAGATAAGCAAGGGAATGAAAAGAAAAAAGAGACACAGAGAGTTCTAGGAAAGGTATGGCGGAATACTTTTAGGTGATCTTAGGAAAGGCATGAAAAATCTCACTAGAAGCCAGTAGCACATTTCTAAAGATCTTGAGACTTCTCTTAAAAAGACTTCTGTTTATCAGGAATAGATCATTAAAGTTTACGGTATAGAGGGTGAAAAGCAGCTGGTCAAGACTTCTTTACTCTAGAAAAGATGAGTCGTAAATTCAACCTGAAATGAACATATAATTAATGACTAATTTATTTTGATTTCATAATTCCCAATAACTCACTTACAGTTTCAACATGGGGTTTTGGGGTTTTGGGGTTTTGGGG